GAAGTTATTCAAGCTGATTTATGCTATATGCCTTATGATCGAATTGGAAATAAACTTATAAATTTGCATTTAATTGTATAGATATTGCTATCTGCACTAAATGGATCTATCCTTTAACTAGACGTGATTCTGCTAGTGTGGCTAAAGGATTTGTGAAACTTTTTAACTCTCGAATATGCCCAATTATCTGGTCTAAAGTTAAAGTTTTAATGGTAGATGGGGGCGTAGAATTTCAAGGTAATGTTATTATACTAATGAACGAACATGGTATCCAAATTCAACTAGCTAATTCTAAAGAATCTATGGGTATTGTTGAGAGATTTAATCGTAAACTTCAAGAATGGGCACTCTTTATTTAAGATAATGTTGAAATGAGATTACCTCCTACTGAGCGCTATCAAGCTTGGGTAAAAAACCTTCTAATTTTTCTTATAGAGCTTGACAATTCTGTAACTCGATTTCTGGGTATTTCTCCTGCTGAAGCTCGAAAAAAAGAACATGTCTTTACTAAAGCTTTCAAGCCACGAGAAGGACCTATTGGGTTTGATGAGCCTAGATTATCCCATAATGTCTTAGTAAGATATTTGCTTAATCCTAGTGAATTAGAAGGTGGGAGACGACGTGCAACTGATTGTAATTGGTCTCCCCAATTTTATCATATTCGTGAATCTCTAGTGCAAAAAAATCAGCCGGTCTTGTGCTGGCTAATAGATGATGAGGGCAATAGCCCGAAAAGATCCTTTGTAAGAGAGAAGCTTTAAATCATTCATCTTGATATAGAATTACTATCCCGATAGGTGCTCACGAATTAGATTTCTAATTCATGAAGTTTAAGCATTTCGTTTACTTCTTCTATAGATCTTTTTGTATAACCTCTTCTTAGCTCACGAATAAAAAATATAATTTGTATAACTTTTCGATACTCTGATACACTTCTTCATTATACCAGTCTTTGTAATCTGCCATTCTTTCATTATAGGCTTTCTCATTTGGAGCTCGTTGCTTTGCTACATATCTGCAATGATCATCTGGATCTCTTTTACATCGTATTGTTTTCAAATAGCCCACATATGTTAATCCCATTTTGTCATATTTTTTCGTGTCTTGACTATATGCTACTTTAATTACCTCAACTAATGCTGATTCGATGTCTTTATAGTTAATCATCTTGTGTAAGTATTGAATATAATATTGAATATAGCGTATATATTTATATTATATTATGTAAAGATTTGTTTAATTAAAATTATTTATATATCTAGAAAATGAAAGTGAAAGCAAAAGTAAAAGCAAATTTTATTTGTGTTTATCTTCATTATTCTGGCAAGATTTGTGGTAAAGCATGCACTCGTCCTGAAGGTTATCGATCGCATTACAATAAGAATAAGGGCCAGTTTTGCTCTGAGTCAGAATGTAATAAAGTAACCAGAATTGAAGGATGTGACCGATGCCGAGATTATGTTAGAGGATATTATCAGATTCAATATGTTAACAGACTTCAGGATAAAGCTCAGATGTTCGATTAGTACCTGGCTAGTAATGAGCTTATTTCAGACTAATGTCTTCTGCCTTATAATATTAGCATACATTAAAAAAGGGTAGCAATAGGTCGAAAAAATATATTAGCATCCGCCCTAAAGGCCTTCTGCTAATATATATTTTTTTCTCCCAAGGGCATCCGCATCGCCTTAAAGGCTTATACTCCTGCCTCTTTTCAGCTACCTAAATGCTATACTAGATGGAAGGCTTTGAATGCTATTATTTCAGGATTCAGTGATCTGTTTTTCATGATCTTAGGCTTGTTTGTTAGCCCTTGATTAGGACTATATGCGTACCAATTTGTGTACGAGTTGAGTTACTAGATCCAGAGTTAATAGCGTTCAATGTTTGGGTACGAAAATTTGGTGGGACTTTGAGGTGAGACTTAAATATGTTTAGCTTAGAGGTGAGACTTAGAGGTGAGACTTAATTATATTCGCCCTAAAGGTGAGATTTAGAGATGAGACTTAATTATGTTCGCCCTAGAGGTGAGACTTTTTGTCCTTATGTTTGTGTAAATGAAATGGCTTCAGAATGCTTTCCTATGTATTGTGAAATTAATGGTATATTTGAACATACTCGATAATTCTTAAATCAAGAATTTGGTAACTGAACCCGTTAAATCTCACCTTTTTAAGATGAGACTTATTGGGGATTTGTTTACAGCAATGAATCACTCTTAGAATTAATTCTAGGATAATATAAATATTGATATACATAGAAGGTTTGCAAAGACTCCACAATCTTGGCTTCGAACTTTTGATTCTTGCCAAGCTCACATCGTCTCAGACCCAAACAGAATGATATATTTTTTCGTTATATAATTTGGGATTAAAATCGAGTTAGAAAGCTATATGAGATAGTTTTATTTTTGGTATCCCAAGCTTAATTCCAAGCTAATTTTGATACCAGAAATTTTAGATAGCGGAAAAATAACCCAGCCCGATTTTAAGTATAAATTCAATATAAGGATTCTATATATAAGAATAGAACCGGGCAGGCTTAAAACGGTAGAATCAATAAGTAGTAATTTTAAGCATCAGGGAGATCTTGATTACACTATTCGTCACCTATCTTATTTGGGTCCTGGCCAGTTCACACTTGGTCTGCACGCCTTCCCTGCTGCTTATATATTTAATATTAAGTTTTATTTTATATAATTTTTCTTATATTTATTATTTTTATTTATATTATTAATTAGTATGTTTATATTTATAAAGTTTTTATTCAAATTATTTTAAGAACTTTTATTTAAATTATTTTAGATGATTTATTTTAAATAGCATTTTATATTGATATTAGTATATTTTATTATATAGTTATAAATTTTATTAAAGTTTGTAATAAATTTTTATAAATTTTCTTTTTATTTTATCACTATGCTTTAAAAAATTGTTTATTTTTTTTAATTTTAATTACAAACACCTTTTTGTCTTGGTAATATTTTAAGAAATTTTAAGATATAGCTTTTTATTATTTATTTTTACATAAGTAGCTTTAATTATTAATTATTTTTTAGTGAATTTTTTAGAAATAAATATGAATCAACTTGATATTGAAAATAAAGAAATTAATGTAATTGATTATGAAAAAGATTCTAAAATTTTTCTTTTCAATAACTTTATAACTTATCACTTTCTTTTTGTAATGGAATATTTATAAAAAGCTAAGAGAAACTTTGATTATACCTGATGTAACTTTTGAATAGACTTTTAAATTATGTATCAGAATTATTTTTTATCATTAGAATTATATATATTTGGTTCTATTAGCTTATAGGCAACAAATCAGCTTTATGTGAAGAATATAAGACAAAATATTTTAACAAAAATGGTATATATTAAGTATATATTTGAATGTCAATATGCCAGATTAGAGGATTAGAGTTAGGATTAGGATTAGTTATAAGGTTGCGATTAGGGATTAGCATTATGTTAGAATTAAGAATTAGAGATTATGGGTTAGGTTAGGATTAAGGATTAGGGATTAAAGATTAGGGTTAGAGTTAATCGAAATTGGTAGGTTAAAGATTGTTTTAATGATGGTTATACATGCCGAAATTATCTTAAATATAGACATAATGCAAGGTTGTACTTTACCAAATAAAAAATGTAAAGAAAACGGATATACTTATCTACATTGTCTAAACAAAGAAAATATTACCTTTGTTGAATCGCTAATAAGTTATAAAGATTTATAAGATGTAAATTTTTAATAAAATATTTATAAATTAATCACGTGATATATATATACTAGGATGGTGTTTAATAAAAATCATCCGGGATGGTAATTATAAATGTTCTTTTTTTAAATAGTTTTATTTTATTATTATTATTATTTTATTAATATTATAATTAATATTAAAATATTTATATTTATATTTCACATTTTAAATTTATATAAACTTAAAATAAGTAATCGTTAAAACTTCAAATTAATATAAATAAAAATATTTATTAGTAATATTATATTAAATATATATATGTATCCTACAGATTAAGGGGATAAAAATATATAGTAAAGGGTATAAAGTTTTAACTGAAAATCATAACAAAAACTCATAAATTAAATTAAATGTAAATAATATAAATTAAATAAGACCATATTGGTGAAGCCCAGCTGTGCAATATAAAATTTCTGGATAATATACTGAACAATCTGAGAATGTATCATTTTCCTTCGGTTCGTAAGTACTTAGAATACCACCAAGCATTTCCTGTGGTAAAAGCGCCCCATGAGTAAAAGTGGGTTGAATACTTCTGTTATCAGCTCCAGTGACATTTTCAAATGTCAGAAAACCAGATTTCGTTGCTAAAGATTTAAGTTGTTGACTCATTCCTAAAGGATGGATTACTTTATAAGTATTTAAGTACATAATAACCTGTAATTGTGAAATAATAATTTCATATACCATTCTCCCAAGCCCATATTTCCACTTCACGTCCCTCGGCCCTCCGTAATGGGGGTACAAAATCACCATCACCCGAAATCAAGATAATGGCATTATTAATGGGGGCCTTTGAAATGATATTACTAATAAGACATGCAATTTCGGTATCAACATATTTCTCCTTGCCATGATTTTTTGCGAACCATTTTACAAGAAAATTATTCTTTTCGAGAAGCTTAAAAAACGGAAGGTGTGTTATTAAGTCATTTTTATGACAAGATCCAACAATAATGGAATTCTCAGTTCACGCCCATCTAGAATTATATTACGTAGTTTAGCGTAATTAAGATCAGAATCTACTTTAATTGGGGAATTTTCGATGTTTTTCCCTTGAAAATAAACATTGGAGTGATCTATAATTACGTATGCAGGACCTAATGACGCATACAGCTTGGTATTAACAACTAAGTATGACATAAATTTAAAACCTCTATCTTGATAAGCAAACTCTCCTCTTACCTTGGGTTGTGAGAGTACTGGAAGTACTAGTCATGGTCTTTGGTTGAAGAATTAGTACAATAGAAGACCTTGATAGCTATTATTATTTTTTATAATAAACTGGATGTCGATATATCTGTATTTTTTTTTATTTAAATTTTTTATAATAAAATAGATGCGTATTTTTTTTTAATAAACGAGGTCGGGAAGATTAAAGAACTGCGTGACTGAAAAATAAATGCACATATATATATAAATAAAAGCATTTTTTCTGAATCCTTTTTGGGAAACGGAAAATTGCATAAATGACACCCGCAGCCGAACTTTAAATTTGTGACGATCTATTAATACGCGATAAAGGATCTGCACTATCATAAAACTCATCATAATACGCGTGCGTTGTACTTTAAGTAAAAAATGTTACGTTCGAAAACACCGAATGTTAATGCTTTAAGGGACCTTACTAATAAAATACCACCTTCGAAAAAAAACAAGGAAACACAATCTGAAAAAAAGAAAGTTGAAAGGAAAAAAATGAAGGATAAGAGAGTAGTTCATGATAATTTTCCTGATATTGAATACTGTCCTCCACCTATGGAAGGTTCTTGTCAATGTTTGATAAGCTATGCACAGGAGGGAAAGAGTTTATATAATTAACTAATTTATCATTAATAAAGAGCCACCATTTGAACCGGATGACGAAGACCTTAAGATTGATTTCGAGCTTTTCAAACATCCACCTAACTTTGACGCGTATGAATTTGAAAATATCATTTATAAAGAACAAACAATGGAAAATTTCAATGAAAATGCTTTACAGGATAGAGAATTTATGACCGAGGAAGGTAAGTATTACGTATTCTCTCTTTATTTTTTATTTGCAAAAAGGTAATTAATCACCAACTTTTCTATAAAGAATTATTTGGTTTTGACAAATTATTGGAAAATGATGAATTAATCTTCTCGGATTTGGAATATGGGAAAGAATTTATGAAACAATTTGGAAATTTCAAATTTAGCTAAACAATGAAAATATTCGCAATAGATTAATCGAATTTCTATAACAAATAAACAATAACCTTCCCTTTGATCCAAATGTAACAACATTTTATTCATTTTACATCAATTATAAAGTTTGTGTAGAAATTTTTAAAGCATGATTTATTAATAAAAGAATATTATAAGTTAAAGCTCTATAAAGAATTTGTGTTTAACATTTGAAATGAATTCTCTTGACTACGAAGAATTCGAATCTGGTATCGGTTCTCCAGTTTTAGAACGATACAGTTCGGCTACATCCAGCCATCCTTCCTCATAAGCCACTTGCGCAGGCTATTATTATAATTAATATAAATCTTTAGTTTTATTTGAAAATTTTGCCTCTTAAAATGAACTTACAGTCTTTCCTTCCGAATTTCTAATGAATGGATCTGCATCGTGATCAAGTAATATTTGAGCTACCTTTATATTTTCTGCGACGAATAAAGGAGTATCTCCATCATTATCACGAATATTCACATCAGCTCCTTGCGATATTAGGAATTCAATTAATTCTATATGATTATATGATGTAGCTGCCGTTAATGGTGTGTATCCATTAGTATCTTTAGAATTTGGGGATACTCCGCTTATTAAAAGTTCCTAAAGAAAGTTTTTTGTATACATTTGTAAATGCATTCATATTCAAAGAGAGGAAACAAAATTGAATTTACCGTAACGCGTTGTATGTCTCCGTCAGCTATATAAATTAATGGATGAATTAGAATTGGTTTCAAATATTTCATTATTTGTTATTGAAACATACCTGCTGCGACCCAAATATTTTTATCGGACATTTTCTTATCAGTCAAATCATCAGGCGAACTCTCTTTTATTTTTATTTGCGTAAATTACACGTGACTTAAATACACGTGTTATCATATTATTAATTAACGCACGGTCTGATGTAAAAAATTTTAAACTTTTTTCAATTCCTTAATAAACTTTTTTTTGTTTTTTCGTGAATACACACCTATAAAGGATTTCTCCTTTAATTAGTTTGTTTGTTTTCTTTTTTTACGCGATATTAATATTTTAACTTTTTAATAATTCTAAAAAAAAAAAAACCTTCGTAGTGAGTAACAAGGATGCCACCAAGATTACGTAACAAAAAAACCGCTGTTTCTTGTGAAAATTGTGGTGATAAATCTCACGCATCGTATGATTGTCCTATTCACGTCATTGATGATAAAGTAGAACGTAGGGGTAAACAAAAAAAATTAATTACCGGAAATTCACAGGATAAAACTAGCGACTTGGATGAAGATGATATGGAAATTTCTACAAAACGCAATGATTCGCCTAGTAATAAACGAGATATTCCATCAAAGAAAAGACTTAAGAAAGGTCCAGCTATTTCTTCAACCTCAATTGAATCGGGATTCGTTCCTTCTTCAGTTTATCAACCTCAACAAATGATTGCTGAACCAGAAGTGCAACAAGGGAATATAACCGCAGTTTCAAATTCATCATCATCGACACATCCTCAAATTTTTAAACGCGCTACAATTGTGCCATTCTCTCTTGATTTGGACGCGTTTGATCAGGAACTTTTTGATGAACAAGAATTAGAAAATGAATCAGATCCCGTAGATGATGTGGGTGCTGTAGAAAAATTATACGGTGTTATCAAAACCAAAATTGTAGGTGTACGATATTACGATGGCGTTGTAAACAAAAACGAATCAGTTTCTATTACTCGTGAGCCACGAAATCCGTATGATCGAAATGCGCTACGCGTTGATAATACTCTTGGAGTTCAAGTTGGTCATATACCTCGAGATGCAGCTTCAGCCCTTGCGCCATTAATTGATAATGGAAGTATCCGAATCGAAGGTACAATTCTTGGAAATAAAGGAGTTTACACCATTGCTCTTCTTGTTCATGTTTTTGGAATTCAAGAACGGGAGGATCTTACCACAAGAATTTTAAAAGCGAAAGGATTTAACGTTGAACCACTTCAACCTACGTCTCAAGCGAGAGGAAAGGGTCGAAAAGTTCCCGAGGAAAATGAAGCATGGCGTGAATTAGTAAGACAAGGACAATCCCTTGACAAAAGGAGCACCAAAAAAATTCTCCAAGAAGTCGGAATATCTATTATTGATTTGGCAAGGCTTCCAGAGGCCCCACAACCAGATGCTTTGATCACACCCTTACTTTCATATCAAAGACAAGGACTTGGTTGGATGTTATCCAACGAGCATCCCGCGGATCCAACCGCTGATGTAGCAACGCAATTCTGGGTCGTTCGTAAACAAAAAGGGGAAGAGTATTATTATAATGTAGCTACCGGATTTTCGACTAAATCTTGTCCAAATTTCGCTAGAGGCGGAATCCTTGCTGATGATATGGGTCTTGGAAAGACATTGCAAACGATTGCTTTAATAGCTTCTAATAAAGATGGCAACGGATTTATTTCCAATCCTGTCAATTCGGATCCAACTTATTCCAAAACTACTCTGATCGTCGTTACTTTAAGTATACTTGGGAATTGGGTTGACCAAATTAATATGCACGTCAAGGAAGGATCCCTATCTTATTACGTTTATCATGGTCCTAATCGAGACGATAATCCTAAAAACCTTCAAAACTACGATGTAGTGGTTACCACATATGCTATACTTGGACAGTCGGATATAAAGGATAAAAGAAGAGGGTTATTTGCTGTTAAATGGCTTCGAGTCATCTTAGATGAAGGACATATCATTCGTACAAAATCGACAAAACAAAGTATTGCTGCGTATAATTTGAATGCTGAAAGGAGATGGATTCTCACCGGGACACCGATTATGAATGAATTGAATGATATGTATTCATTAATAAAATTTTTAAGAATTGCCCCATTTAATGAAATAGAATGGTGGAATCGTGTATTTAACAGACCGATAAAGGCTGGAGACACCGAAGCTATTGAAAGACTTAAGGTCTTGATGAAAATTGTTTGTCTTCGGCGAACAAAGGATATGCAATTCAATGGACGTTCGATATTGTCCCTTCCTCCCGTTAATTCATTTATTCACAAGGTCAAGTTCAACATTGAAGAGAAGAAGATTTATGATGAGGTAGAAAAAGAAGCAAAGATACTATTTAAGAAATGGAGAGAATCAAAGAATTCTAAGGATAATTACGCCACAATCTTGGAAATACTTATGAGATTGCGACAAATCTGCAACCATCATAAACTTTGTGCAGAACGAGTGAGAGAGATTCTGGAAGCACATGTTAATATTTTTGATATGAACGACGATAATATCAAGTCATTAGTGAACACATTGAGAGTTATAATTGAAAATAATGAAGATTGTTGCATCTGCTTGGAACCGCTGACCACACCTGTAATCACGCATTGTAAACACGTGTTTGATAGAGATTGTATTGAGAAAGTTATTGATAAAGACAAACATGCTTGTCCAATGTGTCGTAGTCCAGTTCAAAAGAATCAATTGATTGACCCACCTCCCGAACGAGAATCAATTGATGAGGAGATCGGAAACTTAATCACATCGGATTATCAACCAAGCTCAAAAATTAAAGATTTATTGGAATTTCTTAAGGTATCGAATGAAAATGATCCTACAACTAAATCGGTGGTCTTCAGCCAATGGACATCATTTCTAAATTTGATTGAAATCGCCTTTAAAGAGGCTAATGTCAAATTTGTCCGATTGGACGGTAGTATGTCGCGCAGCAAACGCGAACAGGCAATAAATGATTTCACTTACGATCCTGAAGTTAAAGTCTTTCTGATTAGTTTGAAATGTGGATGCCTTGGTTTGAACTTGACTGCAGCGAATCAATGTTTTCTAATGGACCCTTGGTGGAATCCGAGCATTGAGGATCAAGCAGTCGACCGAATTTATCGATTAGGTCAAACTCGACCTGTTTCAATCTTTAGATTTGTAATTGAGAATACGATTGAAGATCGTGTGATTGAACTTCAAGAAAAGAAGCGTGTATTGGTATCTCAAGCCTTTGGAGAACAGAGAAGACAAGATGCTGCGAAGGTGCGAGAAGCTCGGCTGGAAGAACTGCAAATCTTATTGGGTGGAAATTAATTAAAGTCGACGTATGTGCTTTATGATAATATTACATTAATTATATATATACAGTATAACTTTCGGAATAATTTTTCAATAACGGAAAAAAGTTTTGGACAAATAACAATAACAATAACAATAATAAAATAAACATTATGATATGTATATATTTTTCATTTTTGATATTTTTATATAAACTATTGGTTAGTACATATATTAGATATGTATTACATTTATTTACTATATTGAACCGATTATTGTACTTTCTATTTATATTATTTCATACATAAATTCTTAGTTATTTTTTTCCCACAATAAACGATTACTAATTTTGGTGTATTATATATAGTGATTTTAGTTACAACCCACAAATAATTATATAATAGACCTTTAATTAATTACCGAACTTAATTAATTTATCATGGTAACAAATTACGATTTAGGTTTATGTACATGTTAGCATTAAAAATTCTCCTTATAGAAATATTGATCAAATCTTCAGCAAAATTAGGAATCAAAATTACATTGTTTTATAAATTTGGATAAATCAGATGAAATTTCTTCTTTTATGGACATAATTTTTTTTTTTTTGGCGGTTAAAATTGAAATTGGTTTACAGGTTTTTTTTATTTTATATGATCAAGATCTTTAAATAAACGTTTGATCGCAATCATTGCACATATTATCACGGTTCACCTTTTTTTTTTTTTTTAAAAAAAAAAAGTAATATAAACAAAAAAAAATAAAGTGTATATATATTTATATATTTATATTGTATATATATATTTTTTTTTTTTTAAACTACAAAAAAAAAAAAAAGGAAACCTAAAAAAGAAATTCTTTGAAACTAACGCTAAGATCAAATTTAAACTAATATAATAAACTAAAGGTAAAAAAAAAAAAAAAAAAAAAATATATATATATATAATTCAAATCCAAAAATACTAC